CTCAGCAGCTTTAAAGTTGTTTTATGTCTCAGAGCCTGAGGTCATGGTCAAGGTCATTTTTTTTCTGGGGGGGTGGGGGTTGCACTCACCAGCTGAGTATATTTAATATTTTCTCCAAAAGCTACACACACATATCCACCTTTTAGTCCAACATTATGCACAGTTTTTTTTAACTTTTCTTTCTTTTGTATATTTCTGATTAAACCTGTTTTCCACATCTTATAACTGAGAACAACAGTCAGGTGGGGAGGAGGACAGCTGTAATCTCTGTCTTCAGTCCATCTCAGACCTCTAGTGGAAACTCCACTTCAGAGTRCTCTGGAMCAGTCTGAACTTTTCTTCAGAGTAAGAGTGGTTCTTAGACTMAAGAATTTTGATAACTGGCACTTACAATTAAGTCTGAGAGTAGGAGCAAATCTAAGACATTCTCAGCACTTAAGTCTAAAAATCCACTCTAAGAGGTTTTATAAATARGGGCCCTGAAGTCTCTGTTGGTTGAACCAAAGTCCAGCAGATGAAAGCCTCCACACGAAGCAAGAGATCTCCACCTCCATGGTTTGGACTAAACCCTGACCAGGATTGTTTAACAGTGAACAAGTTAAAGAGGCTGAAGTTGTGTCAGCTTTAAAAACACTTTGTTTCTAATCTGTGACCAGATGTTTGACATCAGGAGGAAAAGAGGATTTTAAAACTGCAGCTGCTTGTCATCACACAGAAACTCTTTAATTCATCAGAAACTCAACAAGCTTTGAAGGAAAAGAGTTGATTTTTAATAAATGATACTATGAAATAAGAAACAGTAACAGAAGAACCAAAATACAACAGAAATAAATATGAATACAGATTAATATTGAAGTATAATCTGTAGGTACGGTTTTGTTTACACCTGAAATGTTTTAGTTAAGAATCAGCCGGGTCTCTTTGGGGTTCTGGATGGTCCAGTTTAGCATAGATTGTTGTCAGATCAGATCCTGATGGTTCTGGAAGATGCTCTCCCTGAGAAGAACAGAAATAAAGAAAATAATCTGAATCAAACTGTTTCTGTGGATTAAAACCTGCAGAGTTTAAATCGGGTCCAATAACMTCAGAGAGCAGAACATGATGAAACCAAACTTTTACTCAAAGGAGAAAAATCAAACAGAAAAAGTGAAACTGTGAATAAAACAGACGAAACTCTGAGATTAAATCAGAATTATTACCTGTCAGTAACTGCAGGGTTACAACAGGAAGTTACTGGTGATCAGGTGAGGAGCAATGATTGGTTTAAAGTTAAGAACAAGCAGCCAATCAGAGGCACGGATGCATGAGTGGTGGGAAACTGAGAACCAGTCAAGAAAGAGTTAAACTGTTGGTAATCTGAGTCCTGAACAGGTCAGATTAGATGGACTGACATCCTGGTTTTCAGCCTCGGAGGTTTCCTTGTTCCACCTGCWGCTGCTCCCAGGCTCCGCCCACTCCGTGTCAGACACAGGTGTGCAACATAAACCCTATAAACCTTGCTTCCTGTCTGTCTCACWGAACCAGGTTCTGGTTCCCTGCTTGTTGGACCTCATTAATCTGCGTTGGGTTCTGGTCGTCCTCAGAACCTCAGAGTCCATAAATCCATCTGAACGTTGATGTGTTCAGGGTTGTGYCTGAGCAGAGGTCCACCTGTGGTTCTGAGGAACAAAGCTGGTTCTGCAGGGTGGAGTCTGAGTCTTTATGGAGGATCAGAGAGTCTGCTCTGATTGGCTGCAGCTTCAACAACACACCATTTGTTTCTCTTTATATCCGGTGGTAAAACGTTTAACACTCCAGGTAAACACATAAGACAGGTAACTAGTGGCGACACCATCAGCTGAGCAAACAGAAAGAATTGATCTTCTGGGAGGGAACAGAACCAAACCCACAGAGTATCCTGGTYACAAGATCCTCGGGGGGATTTCAGACCTACCTCACACTGTCTGCTACTTTGGATTTGTATTGACGTATATTGGACTTCCTCTTCTTGATCTGCAGAGTCAGAGAGGAAATAAATCAGAAAAAAGCTTAAAGAGTGTTTGGCACAAACACAAAAATAAAATCAATGAGACACAAGAGAACAGTTTAGAGATGAGTCCGGTGTCTCTCAGGACACAAAGCATCATTAACGAATCTGTTGGTCTAAACATTAAAATTAACAATCTACACAAGAGCAAATGAACAAAAAAGGATTTAGTTGAAAATTAATAAAAAAAAAACATTTAAAAACCTCTAGTCTGGGATAAAAAAATTAAAATAAGAACATGAAAGTTTTAATTTATTTGAGATAATATTTAAACTATAAGAGTCCTAACCAGGTGGAGAACCAACTTTCTGTGAAAGAGAATAAGAGGAACACCAACAGTCAGCCWTGTGGAACTCCACATTTAACACAAACAAAAAAGAAAAAAATCTTAATTTTGTTCTTATTCAAAAGATCAAACCTGTTTAAGACCTGCCCAGAAAATAATAAATTTAACATCCGAACCCTTTCTGTTARTGAGATATTCTTTAAAAATAAAGCTTTCAGTTTATGTGTTTCATGTAACGTTAACGTCTTTGCAGGATCTGCTGGTCTGAAACTGAAAGAGTAACTGATCTGTATCTCTGTGGCTCCACTTCCTGTGAACAGAGACTCTAACAGCATCAGACATCTTTCTGTCTGTGAATAATTACAGAGTTTGATGAGAAATCTGTTGGTGGTTCAGTAGTTTCAGCTGATAAAATGAAGCTGGATATAAAAAGCTTTTGGRTCCTCCTATAGCTGAGCATCAGAGAYTAAAATCCTTCAAACTGAATCTGARCATGGAAACCTCTGAAYGATGAGCTGGAATCATCGTTTTGTTGGTTTTAGTGATGTGACAGGAAGCTGCTTCATCCTGCAGCTCCTCTTAGATATAAAACCATCATGATGCTGAATAAAGACATAAATACCTGCCTTGTCTTTGTCTGGTTTTCTTCTCTTTCTTGACATATTTCTGTTTGATCAAGCAGGCGCAGAATAGAATYAACACAATAAACCCAGCAGTGACCCCAATCCCAATCCCATCTGTAAAACACAATGACACACAGATTATTAACAAGAACAGTCTTTAAATCTGGTAAATCTTATTAAAGTATCTCTGAGTCTTACAGTTTCTTGTTGGGTTATTTCCATTTTGTGACTGGATGAATCCACAGGATTCCTCCAGGTTAACCTGKAGAGTCTTCCTGTCTGCAGGGTTGGCAGCGACACATTTATAGTCCGAGTGTCGGTTRTGTTTGTGGACAGTGACGGGTAAAGAGAGCTCCGAGCTGCTCTGGTTCAGGATCTCCTGGTCCCGGTACCAGACCAGAGTCACCTGTTTGTCCACAGAGCAGAGCAGTTTGCAGCTGTCAGAGCTCCAGTTCTGACTGTTCACCTGCGGAGTTGGAGCCCAGTCTGCAGGAGAGGATTATAATTTACAGGATTGTAATATACAGGATTATTATTTACAGGTTTATTATTTACAGGATTATTACAATAAATGTCAGCAGGCAGACACTATTCAGTCTAATAATTGTTWGGCATGCAATAAACTTTTGTGTTTTGGTGCAAAGTAAGATTTTTTTTATATTAAAAGAGAAATCCACTATTTTATGTGGCGCCAGTTGTAAAATAAAATGTTAAAAATGTCACTATTTTATTATTTTAGTGGTGTTAGCAACATTAGCATTTGGATTTGTCAGAACAAGTGGCGCACGTACTGCAGCTGGATCTCTGTGGGCTTCTGTGTGTTAGCTTTCATGTTTGTTCTGCACCTCTAACTGTTCAAACATATTTAAACAAATCTTTCCCATAAAAGGCTGAAAATTGTAAATTAGAAGTTTTATTAAAATATTATCTGATCCTTATTTTTTCTTCAGGGTAGTGAACAGGACTTGTGGTTTTGGACCAGACTTGGCTCCAGTTGTTTGAAAGTTATGAAACTTTATGTTGAGAGGAACCATCAGAGCAGGTTCCTGCTGATAAAACCTTCTGACTGAATTCAGACTCGTTGGAGCTTTTATCACCTGTGGTTCCTCTTTTATTCACATAATGTTTCCTGATTTGACTTTCCGTTACTGACCCYACCCGTCTGACTAATAGTTCCCGCTCATTCAGCTCTGCTGGAACAAGTTTTACTTTCAGTACAAACTCCTGATTTTTACAGATGAATTGGTTGTGATGAGGAGGAACTCACCGTACACAGTCAGAGCGTAGGATAATGTTAGAACGTCTCCTTTTTTAGAGTCAATGGTATAAATCCCTGAGTTATTTTTCTGCAGGTCTGTGAGCGTAAACAATCCAGAGTTTCTGTCCCAGAAAAGGTTCTTCTCATAAATATCCTCTGCGATTTCAAATTTTCCTTTTGTCACCAGACCAATGTTTTGTCTTCCCTTTAAAAAAAATCCAAACTCCTTCACAGAATCAGGGAAAGTGACGTTTCCTCCAATGAGTCCTGTCAGATTATTCTTCACATCTTCAGCAGCAGAAACAATCATCATCATCATCATCCTCACTGTGAAACAAAAACAAACTCATGAAACTAAGATCAGAAAACAGTTTTGTTGTAGTTCAGAACTAAAAGATGATTATTTAACATCTCTGACTGAAGGAGCTGTTTGTTGAAGCCACACCCACTCACATCTGTTCATAATTTTCATTAGTCACAGCTGCAGACACTCTGCTCATCGTCCATATAATCCTTCTGTTTTAGACCAGATCCAGGTCTGCTTGAGTCTGCTCTTATTAGAATGATCGCTCTGTTCATTTAACCTTTGTGTTAAAGATTCAGGAAACTTTAACCTAAATTATGAACTAGTATTGATTTTGAATCATAGAGTTCTGAGGGGAAACTAGAAGCCTGAGGAGTTCGTGAGAAACTCCTAAAATGAGATTATTTTTCTGTTTTGCCTCCAGCGTCTGACACAATCCTCCACACGAACCCTGAGGATTTTTATTGACACAGAAACTTTTGACTCAAATATTTCAGTTGTGAAGAAACMTGCTGCTGAAACATTTATCTCTGAACAAAAGTCCTTCAAGTTCTACTCAACAGCCGAAGAAGCACATGTATTATTTTTACAACGTTTTCTTGAGTTTCTCTTGTCTTGGGTCATATTTTTACAGTTTAYTGGTGGATTCTGAGGTGTTTGTCTCACAGGAATGCTGTGATGTTTTTCTGTTGCCTCCTCAGACAAAGTAYATTCTTCAGTTTGGACCTTCGGTGCTGGTTCAGCTGCTGAGTCTGAGTTCTAAAATYAGTTTCTGACATCTGTCAGTGAAAAGTCATGAAAGATGCTTGTTTCCTCCAGCAAATGTCTTTAAATACAAATGAAAACAATACTGAGCTACAGAACAGGAAACATACTGGAAACATAGGTATTTGAAACACAAGGCTGACTCAGTATTAGTAGGAAAAACATYTAAATGTTTAGTATTTATCAAATCAGGTCACCTTCATTTACAGAAAACAAACAATACGAGACAGAAACAGAAAACAGAGCAGAATGCAAATTAGAAAATATTCAGAGACATGGGAGTCACTTGTGAAACAAACAAAACAGTGTTTTCAGGATGTTTTTAGAGATTTTAGAGTATTTTTTGTGGTTTTAGTG